AAATTATTTCTGTCCTCGTTATGTGTCATTCTTGACACTTCTTTATTTAATCTCTAGATACACATGCATACACGTGTATAACTTAATTTGAGTTTATTAACACAGCAGTTTGATACCTATAATGCGCGAATGTTAGAGTAACCACATTAGCGGACACTGATACACTTTTAATAGTATTTATTCAATAGGCCAGAAGAACTAGATAGTTGTCATATTGCCCATAGCCTATACCTGTATTTCCTCAGAAGTTGAAGATGTTCTATTTAGACAAATTTCACTTGTTAAGTTATACATTGCAATAGCAATTATTTTAAAGGATGAGAATAGAGTCCCTAGGACCGCTTAAAACCTAGGAGTTTTCTCTTATGCCAGTCATACTCATGTCAGATTTTCTTTTTCCTCTGAAACGCCACTTGTTTTCCTGGTGTTTTTAACAGCATGGATGATGGAACAAAATCTACTATTTAGGCACTTTTATGTGGCTAAATACTTTAGTATGAGACAAAGAATATGCTGAATAGACATGACAGGTAATTTAGTAAGTCTTTTTTTCAGATAATTAAGAAAAGCAGAAGAACAAACTAATTTCTCACAGCAGGGAAAATAACCCAACAAAACTACAGTCCATCAGTTTCAGAGAGATATCAAAAAAGTAGCAATGATTTAACTCACTAGTTATAAATCTGCACAATGAGGGAGATCATGTGTTCTTTATGCTAAATTTTCAGCAGCATACCTGAGTTCACTTTTGAAAATGTTATACAAAGTTTAGGCATGTTCTATGCCTAATAGGTAACATGTTCTAAGAAGTTGCAGAAAAATATCAAGAACTCCAAAAAGGAGGAAAAAAAAAAAAGAAGCCAGAGAGTACTGATTTCCAAAGAAAATGGAAGAGGAACAGTATTTGCCTGAAGAAGATATGAAATATCCATTACTGAAGGTTTTTTAAAACAGCCTAGGCCAGTGATAGAAAACCATTAGGTCTTGTGCCAAATTTGACGGTCAGCTATTTGAACTGGTACCAACAACACTGAGCCACAGCAGTTTGAAGAACATAGCATGGAAGTAGGCACCAAAAAAATGTACTGCCACTGGGTCAGGATGTTTGAGCAGAGTAATATTGCTTAATACAGTAGTCCTTTGGTGTAGCATAACGAATGAAGTGCTCCCTTCAAGTCTCCTGTAGATCTACTCTCTGTAAATTTGCATTTCTGTGAATAATCTGGAACAACATATCTAGGATCCACACAGATTAAAACCCCAATAGGAATGTGGCAAAAACAGGACAAGACTGAGCAGATTAACAGAAAATGTTCATAATGCAGATGTATACTTAGGTCTTACCTACATTTACAAGTTTTGCTGCTCTCTGAATTTCAGTTCTTACACATAGGCTGTGTTTATGCTATAAACATCTATTATTTTAGCTGTGTCAGTCCACAGTGGAAAGAGGTGTGAGCCTTAATTAACACTGAAATCCATATTACTGTTACAATTCTATTCACAAAAACAAATCTTTCTTAGGATGTTACCTTTGCTCAGAGGAAACAGTAGAGAACAGCTGTGTTGACCTAGTTCTGCAGTCCAGCAGGGGGGCCCTTCTGTTACAATATACAGCTATGATGTAGACATAGCCTTCTTTTTATAGGGTTGGGAAAGGAGAACAAGTCTGGGCTGGAAAAAACTCTGTTATGAAAAACAGTTTTGCCAGCTCGGACTCTCCCTTTATAAGTAATACTTTGCCAGGAAAGCACAATGGCGCGGTTATACTGGTAGAGCAGCCCATGCCACCTGTGAGCCAGAACCCAAATTAATTCCAGCTAACTCCAGGCACCTAACAGAAGTATGTAAATCAGCAGTGGGGCTGCCCTAGCCTTCCCATACAGGGAACGGATAAAGACAGGCATCGTCAGAGAGCGGTTAAGATATTTGGTGAGCTTGAGGAAGCCTGTCCTGTTCCATTGTTTGTGCTAGGGCTTTTCAAACAATCAGACTGCTCCATTAAAAGTACTTTCAGAAGAAAGACTCCAAAGGGAAAACATTTTATTTTTATATCCTTTACAAAGTGTAATGAATAGACTGCTTCTTAGCACAGGGCTAGAGCCTCTGTTGACAGGCAAGCAGATGCATATATACATATACACATACATATATAAATATATACATATATATATATGTCTAATCTGTGATAGTGACATATCAGTCACTTGGTGCTAATTTGGATAGTATGCTTCAGTTTTCCTGGTGACTGCTTCTCTATATTCAATCTTATTTTTCACATCACCTTTAAGAAATATGGGGCAAAATGAAACTATTGTTCAGGCAGTTTTCCCGAGAACAGTGCTACCGTTCTAGAGAAGAATAGAATAGAGACAACTTTTTTTCCTTTACTTTTTGAACAGCACAAATGGAAAGTGAATTACCTTTAACGTCATATCATCGGAGCAAGATGCTAGTAGCATGCCAGACGGGTCCCATTTGATTGCGTTAACTTCATTCTGAAATAAAGAGCGATTTTTATAAAGTGAACGCTCAGGTTACTCGTAGTGCACTGGGCACCCAGCAGAGGGCACTCAAGGTCTATGCCTGCAACCAGGGAACGCACCACTGCAGTCCTCACTGCTTTATGGGTGCAGAAAAGCAACGCTGCTTCCCCATCACACTGTTTACAGTATCATTTAGGCATGGTAACCATTTTGTCTTTGTGCTCGTGGATGCTACGCACAATCAGTCTTCCGATATGTTTTCTGGCACAAAGTTTGCCATGTCCTCTTTCTGCAAATGGCAGGATTTAAATAAAGCCTCAAACCAGGTTGACTGATGATGCGGCACTAACTTATTTTTAAAATACAGGTATTTCTTAAGTTAATATCCTGTAGATCTAGGAGATACAAATTTGCAATAGAAAATACTGGGGGAAGGGGGTTAAACTTTTGTGGAGTTTATTGTTCTCGATATTACAGCTTCACAATGATTGTGATCTCTCTAAAGGCAGCAGCAAGTGTAAATGAAATCCAGCATGGAATATTAAGTAGTTTATAATTCTTTCTCCATCCGTTTTTCCAGCTCTTTGTAATTAACTAAGTCTAGTGTATCCCCTAGGTAGTCAGGAGGTTTCCTCTGCTTTCTTGAGGGTCAGATATATGTAATAAAAGCAGGGAAAAAAGCGTTTTATAAACAGAGAAAGATGCTTTTTTTTTTTAAAACTGGCTCAGGGTCTTAGTGACAATAATACTGGAAATGTTTTAATTTTGCTTTACCCATTTTACACGTTTTAACTATAGTTAAAAGGAACTGCACACAACGCATCTGAAGTCGAAATTTGGCCTATATGCAAAACGGTATATACTTCATATAATAATAAAGAAACATCAATCTGTTCAAAGCATTGTGCAGCAATTTGCCAGGAAATATCAGCTTGATGCCAGTTTAACGACATACATAAACTAGCTAAAGGTCTCCAAATGTACAATTTTTCCTCAGTGGGGAGATAAATAGCTCTGGGGGTGAGTACCTAATTTACAGCTCAGTATACGACAGCAGTTTTCTCATGAACAGAAAAACTAGCCTTTGACGGCCATTAGGTACTAAAGGAGAGAGGAAAAGAGGAGTGAAATACATCTTAAATGGATCTCATTAGATGAAAGTGATTCTAAACTGAACAACGGAAGTAAATTGTTCCGTCCTTATTCATTCTCTCATTTAGTAAAGGAAATTAAGAGAGGGAAAACAAAATCCTATTTATTAATATGCCTTCAGTCTGCAGCTCATGCTACACGTGAGCAGCGTCACTGGTTAAGCTGCAGATTTTGCCTCGTTTACTACAGTGTATCCCTTTTCACAGGCCGTGAGTCACTCCGGAAGAACATGGTTTTAGGGAAGCAATGAGATATGGCGGCTTTGGTGCTAGGACACACCCTGCTCAACACATCAGTTGCCACCACCGTTACGTGCTGTTGTGACTCTATTATGAACATTTTGGACTTGAAACTTACTGTGTGTCCTTGAAAGGTTTTAACGGGACGATCGCAGCCAAGTCTGCATACGTGAATGCACATGTCAGTGCTGCAGGAGGCAAAAGTAGTGTTGTTCTGCCAGTCTACATCCAGAGCAGGAGCTGTGAAGCACAAACAGCAGAAGGATCATTAGAGAATGCAGCAAAGGAACAGTTCTCCCAAATTATTTTGCTTCTGTCACCCCTCTGCATCACGGAGACTAAAAGCTAGTTGCGAGTCTGTCACCCGCAAGCAGATAGGGACTGTCTGAGGGGCACAATTCATTTTTTCTCTTGTGATGGGCAATCTGGATGCTTTGTATTGACATCTATTTGTGAGACTCTCTGGGGTAAAATTACAGGAGAGTGGGTAAAACGGTCCTGCTTCCACCTCCGCCCTCCCTGCTGCCAGCTGCATACTTCTTCTCTTGTGCCATCTCTAGCATTCAGTTAACTCCTCTGTCAGCCACTTCAGCTAAGAATCAGAGAGGAAACTAACCCAGAAAAAATGGGGATAGTTTCAGCTGGGTTAGAGAATTGAATCAGCTCATAAAATGGTCCTGTGAATGCCAGAGCCAACACATGGGATAGGGAAGGAGCGTGTGGCCATCTTGCTTTGTACTACCTTCTGGCAACAAACAATGTAGATCTCTCATTCTGTGCAGACACATCTGGATTAATCATATCCACATACAGACAGTTTAATTTAGTTGGGCATTGATTTAAGACAGATAGGCTGATTAAGCCTACCTGAAGTCAAAGGAAGAGCTTCTGTGGAGGGTTTTGCATTGACTAGGACTGAACTAACGAAACTTTGTGCACATGAACATGTAACTGGTGCCTGAGTGCACGCCCACACTTTGCAGAAAATATGAAAAAAAATTTTTTTTATTAACTTTTATAGCATGTCTTGCAGAGCAAAAGCATGCACAGAAGCAGATACGTGGGAATTCCTGACATACAGCTTGTGTGTGTTTCTATAACTGCTGCTTGTTTGTTTCCTCAGGAAAGAGTTCAGCTGCCCTCCAGAGGACGAAACAAGATTTGCCAAAATAGAGACATTTCCATTATCAGCACATTCGTGTTATAAACGGGTCTGTCAGAACTAGCAGTTAAGAAGCAAAGTTGAATCTCTCTCTGTCAACAATACAGTGCAAGTTTACCGTTAAAAGGAAAATAAGAAATTATTTATTCAAAAATAAGAGAAATACTTTTGTAGAGAATACTGCTAGAGAGAAATACTTTTATAGTATAAAGGTGAAAAGATATCTATTCTGCCAAACATATTACATTTAAATATGCTTTTTCCTATTGTAATTTTCATGAACCACAAAATAAGATAGAACTAGGTTACCTCCTGAATCACTAGGCTGGCTCTTTAAAAGAGAAGTGAGGGCTGAAGTTGTTTCAGATACAATTTTTTTTTAGAATATTAACGAAATAGCTCAATAATTCTGTGTGATTGATAGGTAAGGAATTTCTGTGTTGGAGAAATATAAGGAAATATGTGTGGGTAAGAGATTACTTCTGAGATTTCTGATCAGCATGAATGGGGAGCAGGAAACAGTGAAGAGTTTTGTTTCTCTAGCTGCCTATTTTTCTTTTTATGCTGCAAAGCTTTGTATTACTGTTTCGGGGCAAACAGAAGATCTATCTTCATTAATAGCAATATGCCTTCAGGGCTAATATCCAGTATGATATATATGAGTCCAAAAGTAGTTTTCTGAGATTGGCACCTAAAGCGATGGATTTGTATTACAACATAATTTGAATCACAGTGTGTTGATAATTGATGCCGATTTATTTACTGGTGTATTTAATCATATGTTTTGGAAAAATAAATAATAACATAAAATGGCCTGGAAAAAACTACCAAACATGGTTCTTGATGAAAGTAATCCAACTGCCAAAGAGGCGTCTCCAAACACACAGGTTACTAGCCGATTGCTTTAAAACAATTAGAATGCCGTCTAATAAAAGCAGCAACAAACTTGAAGAAATGCAGCTAAAATAAATACCAACAATAAAATGTTACAGTAATAGTTAATTTAAGCTTGTTCTCATCAAATTTTTGTGTGATTTAGAGAGTTAAATGTCTGCAGGGAGTGATTCAGAGATGGTACAAACACCTCTCACCCTACCACTTAAAATTTTGCTCCTGGGTGCATAGACATCAGTATGCTTTTATCAGTAGATGTGAAACTTGGATTATTTCACTCCACTTTAAAGAAGTAAGCTTTGTGAATACGCTTTTGATCAAACATCCTCTGATGGCTACTAAAACTTTGCAATAGAATAATGAAACCTTAGGTAAAAACTACTTATCCACATACTTACATACTTGGACCATGAAACCCTAACGTTACATGGGAATATCAGTGATATGGAGGTCTTCAAGACTTAGACAAAGGAGTCTCGCTTAAGATGACATTCTCTAAGATGACAGTTTTGTCCATATGTGTGTAACCTAACAAAGCTGTTGTAAAGGAGCTGAAAGTAAAAAATTTACGCTATACCTAGGCCAGCTGTCTCGAGACTTTAAAGAAGCATGCCTCACAAATATGTGTTAAAAAGACTGTACTCTGTCTAGATTAGAATTTTAGTTGTTAAAATGCCACCATTCAATCCTTGTTTAGACAAGGTTTTCAGATCCCAGACAGGGTGAATAATTTGTTATTACTTTGTTCTGGTGAATAAGTGATGCAAGGAGGACAAGGTGAGGTCTTTGTAGCTTTAGAGCTACGTGAGGACAAAGATCTTCCTGCTTACCTGAGGACAAAGATTTTAAGGGGCTACTGGACCTGTGTTTTTGGCCTATCAACAATTTACTTAACTAACTCCTTTATTTCACTATGAAAAGACATTTGAAATAAAAAAAAAAGTTAGCTTCTCCACATCCCCACTACAATGATGTCTTATGGCCTGAAGACAAACAGCACATGTAATAAAATTCTTTTTTGTAGTCTATAATGCAGATGGACTTTGGTATATTGTACTGGAAGACGTAGTCAAGCTTCCAATTAGCTAAAAGGAGAATGGAGTGGTGTGTCCACGATACTCATCATTCCTGTAGACAGCTAAATTTCAGTGAACATCATTCTGAAAGGTCAACAAGGTTTTGAATATGCACCTACTTAGACCAACAGTTAGGGATTAGTAGGCCTCAGAATCTCCTTAACTACACCACTATACTGTGCAAAGTTTGCTCCTGCAGAACAGCTATGATAAATAAATGCCACAGCGAGAAAATCTGTCAACGCATACTGACTCCTCCAAACTGACAGTTGAACTAATAATAGTGAGATGGGTGACAGAAATGCAGAGTTGGATCTGCTGTGTGCATAGACATACTCTGTTTCTATTGCTACCGCATATTAGTAACATCTGTGAGATGTAGGAATGAGAACAACTAGAAATTCACTTGAAAAACACGTGGGAATTTAATGTTTTTATATTAGTAGGAAAATGTATGTTTTTAAATACCATGAAGCACCTTGAGTATGCCTGTTGTACTTAAAAATGGAATAGCTGGTTACAACAGTTACACAGGAAGACTACAGACTAGAAGACTATGGTTACACAGGAAGACTACACTATTTCTGGCATCAGAATCTGGAATGTTTTGTAGTTACAAACTCAGTTTGCCTATGACAATTTATCAAGTTTGGATTATGAATTCAGTCAAACGGGCTTGGTCTCAAGTGAATTTAAGATTACATTAACGACTGCCTGTTACTCAAGATTACTTAGTACCTGGGGTGCCTCCTGTCTTCTGGAAGCAGACAAGATCTGCGAATGAATGTCCAAATAAGGTTTTGGTGCAGTGGTGGCAATTGATTTCTGATAATTAGACAAACCAAATACACAAGAACTAAACTTCAAGTCAAACTTAAAAGCTGAGAAATTGCTAAGGACCTTCACCTTGGCAGAGGTGCATGCAAGCTTTTGAGAAATCTACATCTCTGTCTTCTGTCTGAAGTCAGCTTCATTGCAACAAGAGCCTTAGCAGGAAGAGTGGAAGAGATTCCAGAGGTCTCCACTGAAAAGTGTCTTCATAAACCACCATTTTAGCCTACACTACTCAGTGTAGTTATGGCACAAAAACTTTGGTTCATAATTCAGTTTACAGATCTGGCAGATATATTTTTACAAAAGGATACGTTAGCTTGACAAAATTAAAAAGTTGCATTTCATTTTACTATCAAAAGTTACATAGAAATTACCTGAATGGAAAGGAAACTGCTGTTTAGCTTCCCCTGTGTGAGCATCCCAAATTATTGTTGTCTGTATCCGGAGGGAAGGGGGAAAAAAAAAATTAGTGAAGATTCAGCTCCAAGATTAACAGCAAAACAAAGAGAAAGGGCCCTCACTGAGGGGCAATTCTAAAAGATGGTCTGATAAAATTATTGACTGCAGAGAGCCTTGTATGCTGCACAGCTGAATAAATAGAAATCACTTCGAAATATTACAGAATAATAACCTAAGTGTAGATATAGAAGTATCCCCCCTATAAAGGAAGTAATGTAACTATTGAGTATGAGCATATTTTCTCTGGATAATGTTAGAAGAGAATACTAAAAATTTTCGTAAGCATTTTGTTACAGCTCTTTCAGTTGTCGTCTTCCTTAAAGTAGACTTTTCCCCTTTTCTAAGATGCAAGTTGAATTCAATTATAAAACTTAGTGATACTACATTTATAACAATTAAATCACCACGTGAAATGTTTGTCTAGTAGTAGAGTGCATACCACTTGCTACCACTGTGGTGGGACAAACTGAAGTGTAGTTTGTTTACTGCAAGTTTAATCCATACTTACAGTGTACTTAGGCAACCCCCCCTGCAGAACTGAATAACTATCTTCTGAGTGAATTGTCAATCTATAAAGACCATATACTTCCAGAAAATAAATTAAGGATGCCTCATCTTGCTGATAACAGATCATCTAAAGAATCACTGCTGTTATCGGGAAAGTAAGTTTGCCAGGGTGATGGAACTACCATTGGGAGGTAAGTGTAGCTGGATATGAGTCAGCATTAAATGAATAATATTCTAAGTTTCCACTTTCAAATATGAGAAAATAAAGGATTCATCTGCAAGTCAGATGTACAGGTCTGAGCTAGTTTCCCTAGGTTTCCTTTGTAAGCTGATGGAGGGGATGCAGGCAATACATCTCACTGTTAACACAGGCCATGCAACTCATCTTCTGGAAGTGCCTTTTTTCTCTCCTGATTTTATAAAGGAAGCCAAGGATGACATAGGCATCTAGCTTTTTAGACATCTAAAGCTGGGCAAGACGAATGCTCTGTTTATTTTCCAGTTTGAGTTTTAATGGGCTTGTGTTCATCCTTCAGTCATCTTGCATTCATTTTAATCTCTTAATATGCATGCACACAGCGGAAGCTACCACATTGTGCTTGATTTTGAGTTCAGAACCACCATATTTTGCACATTTGCAAAGAAAGCCTTATAAACGATTTGAATGCAATTGTCTTAATAATCAGATGAGCTAGCTACTTCCTTCCCTGAAAATATTTACAGTTGATAAAACTATATGCATAAGTAAGGAAATCAGTTCTTTCCTTATCTGAAAAACATTTAAGATTCAATTTTACACCGGGGGCACAATGGAGATGTGTTTAAAAAAACTTTTCACATAAAAATAGTACACATTTATGCAGCCCCAGAAACATAATCAACTGCTTAATGTGAGGAAATCAAGACCTACTAAAACAAATCATAGAAAGTAAACTCTCCAGGACTCCCAGTGCAGAAGAAAATGACCTTACAAAATTCAGCTCACTGAATCAACACATTTATACGTCAGAGTTATGCATATTTAAAACTCACTTTATCAACACCAGCACTTAAAATATAATTCCCCTTTTTGTTCCATTTCAGGGCAAATATGGGACCTTTATGTTGACCTAAGGTGCTTGCAAGGTTACCTGTAATAAAGAAAAAGTTAATATTACAATTTGATTGCAAGTTAGCCAAATTACAGTTCACTGCTGTTGACTGCTTAAGAACAGTAACTATTGTGTGACTTACCATCTTCTGTCCATATTCTTGCAAAACCATCATATGATCCTGTAGCCAATAGTGTTCCATCACTCTGTTAGGATATATATAAATGTCTAAGGTAAATACTAGACGAAATGTATTTCAACTAACCTTTTTTTTTAATGTTTGATGCATTATGCTTTTCTGTAAATCTGAGCCCACATAGTGAGATAGTTAATGTCATTATTACATTTATGATCTAAATTAAAGGTTAGTATGGCAGGTATCAAAGATGAAAGGAAACTCCCTAGCCTACTGTGAAATACTAGGCTACACCATCACACAAGGTAATTTAATCAAACGGATTGGAAAAGGAAAACAACCTCTATGGGATTCTTCCAGTTAATAAACAAATACTACTTCTTGGGCACAAAGCACTTCTAAATCATCAACCGATCATCTAAATCCTGACTAAATCCCAGTTCAGTGAAATTCAGGCATCTATACCTGCAAGAAAGACCTAAGTCCCTAAGCCCCCTATACTCACCTTTAACACCTCAGATACTATCTAACCAAAAGAAGCTGTTTCACAGGCCTCTAAACAGAGATTCCCACACATGCTCAGAGGCACACTACTATGGTGGGTAGCCTGAGAAAAGTTGAATTTGTAGTTTCTACTTACTAGAAGAAAGCCTGCTAACCATAGTCAGCAAATAAAAATATTCTGCTGGAGGGAGCCCTTCTTCAAAGGCTAGCTCCCGTGTAGCCAAGAATGCAAAATTTATTGGGCCAGAATAAGAAAATATTCAAGAAATCTGACCCTGGAACCTAGTGAGACAGGAACTGCTGGAGCTAGGCATGTGCTTGTTAAGACATTTTGACAGCTGCATTAGAGGTAAGATTCACCTCATTTATCTCCAGAAGTCCAGAAGTTTGGAGTTAGCCTAACAGCCTCTCTCTAACTGATAGCATTACCCACCTCTGGCATGTAATTCAGAATCTCATTTGCT